AAAAAGATGGTCTGCACCTCCTCGAATTGTCTCTTCCTTTAGAGGAATACCACTTGAAAAATCGCCTGTCTTTTGAAAAGCCCTGTACAATGCAGCTGCTCTCAATGAGAATAACTCAACGCCAGACAGGGTAGAAGTTAGAAGCTCTTTAAGGCAAATCAAGTTGCATAGAGGTCCACATTTAAAGTGTCTGAATATGTGCAAACACTATATCATTAATGGCTACAGCAGCTTTAGCCATCTGGTTAAACATGTGATTAATTGTGTGATTAATTAATTACTTTTCAATTGAGGGAACTTTGGGATGTTATTTGAGCCTTTGCAGACCATTTACATGCACACAAACCTATAACACACTACAGGAAAGAGAAGATTGGGTTGGACATGGACACTGGTCATTAGAAATGAATAGGAAAAAATATTGTATCCATGTCACGTCTTGAGAGGGTTATTTGTGAATATATTATGTTTTGCCCTGTGGACCAACGTAGCCATTACACGTTTTTTTTTGTGAGACTGGGTTGGAGAAAACCCGTTAAAAGCATATAACAAGGTCTCTTTAAATCATAATTTATTCTATGTGATGTATATTTACACTTTTTCAAAACCTGTCTCTTGTGAGTCCTTTTTAAAAGCAATATGAAATCACTTCATGCTCTCTGTCATTTAAGGTTGTTTTTATCCAGTTTGCAATAATAAATTGGTTATACTTTGAAAAGCATACAGGAGAAAATACAGAAATGGAAACAAGGAGAGGCACAACAACCTGTCTATTGCTCCTGGGAATGAAATATAATGAGAGACGGTGCATTCATAGTCATACAATCAACAAAGAGTCATTCAACCAAGTGCCTGAGAGTTAAAAAGGAAGCCAAACAACAAAGGAGAGATTTTAATTCACATCAAGTCACGCTTCCAGATACAGCAGCCAAACAGGCAATGCGATAGTGTTCAAAGGTACAAAATGTTGTCCAGAAGAAAGACTGACTTATAGCATAATCTTAGAGCATCCACGGTCGTGTATTTCGTTTTTTTTAATACAGAAAACAGTATCAAACATTAGGCAAAGTCATCTCATGACAAAACCAAGAACATACGCATGCATTTTAGTTTTCTTTTTTTACCATAATATAGAGCTTGCATACAAAGGCAGACAGATTACAAAATCAAAATCACATGTCGGTTGTATTCATTATATTCATCGGAGACAGAGAGAGGGGGATCGCTGTCGTGTCGAGGGTTATATTGAGATGCCAACAAGGTTTCACAGCCAGTTTGTGCACCGCAAATCAATGGAGAGGTGTTAACACTTTAAAAAACAGAGAGCTGCATTTCCCAGCTTTGAAAGTGTGCATAAAGTAATATTTCTAATGTCAACAATGAAACTAGGGGTTAAGAGGGTAAAATAACATAACAAATAGACATCAGGGGTGTTTGTCAGTATCTACCAGCTGGAATAAGCAAGTTAAAATGATCTGATTTTCAATCGGCATGCTCCTTAAGTCAAAACATGCCCGGCCTATCTGACAGTGACGTGAATTGATGAGGGAAAGCTGTTGGATTGCAAAGCCTGACAGGAATCCTGAACGTGTACGTGAGGGATTTTTGTACCACGGAGGACATTTACAAGTAAGGTGTGCAAGGGAGAGGAGAGGGGGGGGGGGGGGCATGCAAGAAAAAGGTCATACAGCAGGATCGAACTCATAAAATTACAAATACATGGCATGCATCCATGAGTTGGGAGTTTCCACTTGTGGTGACTGTTCAGGGCTGCACGGGGACTCGGGGTGTCATACAAACATAACATATTCAAAGAAAGAAAAGAAGATAAATAATTCAACAGGCTAGAAGAAGTCAAATGTGTCTCTCTGACCTCTGGTAGTTTGCTCCTGGGCTGTTAGTTCAACCATCTCTTTTCCAACACATTACATCACATTACATGTTGTTAAGCCCAGTACAATATCTTGCCAAAGGACACTTCAACTGCAGGGGCTGGGGATCAAACCATTGACCCTCTAACTGGTGGAAACCCGTAGAGTGGTGCAGGGATGATGTACTTTTGTACGCAGAACCGGAAGTTAGCATCGCAAGGGGTCACTGGCCAAAAAGCAATGAGATTTTCCCTTTGTTTTGGGGTATTTTGCAGAAACTAAGCTCTGTGGCCAACACACGTTTATTATACCTACACATTTTGTTTAGAAGGATAATCTCCACTTCTCCACATCTCCAACTCCAACAAATTACAGCAAATGCATATAAGACCTAAGATTTTCATCGTCATAACTACACTGTAGCTATGTTCGTATGACCAATAAAAGCCTTGAACCTTGATCATATGACTTCACATCACCACTGCTATGCTAAAGGCGGCTAATATTCGACATGATGACTTTAAGTAGTTTAAGTCACTTGTTAGCGATCTCTGTTTTTAAAGGGGTCCTATTCTGCTGTAGTGTCTCTACTGTGACATGTCTGCATGCTTTAATCTTCAAAAAGCTCTTTATTCTTCTCATACTGCCTGTGCTGCAGCACTTCTTTTCACCCTCTGTCTGAAACCAGAGCCCAGTCTGCTCTGATTGGTTAGCTGGCCGGCTCTGTAGTGATTGGTCAACCACCTAGAGATTTGTCCCGCCCCTTAGCGTATCACGTACAATGTGTTGGAGTTCTAGCCAATAGGAGCGTGAGTGTTACATAGTGATGTCATTATGTTACTGAAGTAAACAAACAAAAAGCATAAGAGGGCCCCTTTAAGACACATAGAAGCTTCAGACATTCACTAGTGGAGTATTTAAGAACGTATTTTATGTCGTAGAACAAAACGTGAGCATTTCTTCAGCTTGTGTTAACCACAGCCCTAATTTTAGGCTTCTAGCCAAAAACATGTTCAAATAAGCGACTCCTTTGAGACGAGGGAACCTGAAAATGATAAGTCTTTTCAGAGTTTTAGGACTCATTCCTGCACCACTCTATTTCCCCCCTGAGTCACAGTTGTCCCTCATTATTCCCAGATATGTGTGTCTAAAAACGTCACTTATGAAAAAATATCTACAACACTAAGCTGCACATTCTCAGAGGGTTTACCGTGGACTAAAAGGGGTTAAACATGTACATTCTCTTTGATACATTAATAGTGGAGCCGCGTACATAAAAAAAAACAAAAAAACGTATACAACATAACAATAATACACATACACGACTATTTAAAAATCCTCCCCCCCGGCCCATCTGAGCAAAGCTTGCATTGAACAATCGCAGTGACTTCAGGGTGTGTTCGCCCCGATCAGCAGCAGCAAACTTGAATTTCAGCAACAATAGGCTGTTGTAAACGATTCATGCTTTAGACATTACTTTATTTAAATATATTTGACGTAAACTTTCCGTTTTTTTTGTTGTAATTCTGCCCTTTTTGACATACAGCCAGATACATTTTCAGCCACATTACAGTTCAAAAATGCTGCCAGCGAGTTTTTTCTCTGTAGTGTAAACAATATGATACACGCACGCACGCACACGCACACGCACACGCACACGCACACGCACACGCACACGCACACACACAGAGACTATCGAGCTGCCCAGTCATGTTGTTGTGGTTCGACAAGTGATTTTCACCAGGCATTAAGAGACCTATTTATTTTAAATATACAATTTAAGACATTTTCAGATAAGGTCTTAAGTTTGTCATGATGGTATTAGAAGTGTGTTTTTAGATCTTGAGGAATTGTTTGATTGTTTATTTTGCAATTGGCTTGTTGATGGTTGTCTATAGCGTGTAGATGTGTGTTTGAATGTGTGTAAACCCCAGGAATAATAGATCATGCTAATGCTATTGCTAATGGGGATCCTAATAAAGATGAAGCACTTTAAGAAAACACTTGTTGAGCCTTGACATCTGGACTACCACAGAACTGGGCAGCTCTATAGATCAGGGGTTGCACTGAGGATCTGTGAGAGTTTAAGTGGTGCTACGGTATGATACCCAGCATTGTCTCATATTGATTAGTTTATGCAGAGGCATTTAGGGTTTCTAACGTCATGAATACTTGCTGTAAGTTCCGTTTTTGTATCACACTGGTCAACAAATCTACCATGACAGCCAATATCGGTTTCCTTGTAACCATTAGGGGATATTTTAGTGTTTTTGGTCTGCATGGTTATTGTACTTTTAGTCTCCAACAAACTGATCTGCAGCTCACTAGACATGTGAAGACCTCAGTATACTTCAAACAAGTTTCTCAAGGTGTAACAGCGTCTGAGTCCCTGATAGTAAAAGGTTTCTAACGTCATGAATACTTGCTGTAAATTGAGATGTTGTATCGCACTGGTCAAAAAGTCTACCATGACAGACAATATCTGTTTCCTTTGAACCATTAAGGGATATTTGAGTGTTTTGTGTCTGGTTATTTGTCTCCAACAAACTGATCTTCAGCTTACTAAAAATTGCCCTGAAGACCTCAGTATACTTCAAACAACTTTCCCATGGTGCACCAGAGTCTGAGTCCCCGATAGTAAAAGGCTTTGTCAAAGAAATTAAAACTTCAATATAGTGCAAAGCGTGCTTGCTACCTTTCTCTAATGTGAGTTTCCTTTGTCATTCTGTCTTTGTAATGTTATTAGTCACCGTGCAGTTTTTAGGCTTTTAATGCGCTTGTGTACTTAAAGGGAATGTCCTGGAGTGTTTGTTATTCAACGCAGATCTCAAACTCTGTTTTCTGTCAGAAAACAACACAAATGCCTTCATGGAAAGAGGTGTTTCCCATCTGGACTACAAAGACAGAAAACAGAGTCGATTGGGAAGAAGCCAGGGCACGATGGCATGGTTTTCACTCTGGATTTGACAGGGTGGTTTAGGCACAAAAGTTAGGCAATAGACACGGTTAAATTGCGTTTCGTGGGAAATGAAAAGCACATAGCAGCATGTCAAACTTTTTCCACCCTTACCCTCTTTTTCTGCAGACGTCTATAAAGTCATTACTGCTTTTTTTGCACTCGATAAAAGCCATCATTTCAAGCAACCTTGAACATGTCATGTGGAGATTTACTGTTTGATTTAGTTAGTTTGAAGTAGACTGAGCTCCTTACTTGTACAGTGTTTTAAGTGGGTTAGGACATTATTGTCACCTGGCCAAAGGAGTCAAATTAAAGTGTAAATAATCCAGATTTCTAAAACAAACGGATTGTTTTCAGCACGTTGTGAGGGCTCCCCAACAGTTTTACAATCATATTTAAAGTGCAACATCTTCCATTTCTGCATACACCAACAGTGTAAGATGTTGCCTCATCCTTTGGACCCTCCACTCTTTAACCACCAAGTTGAACCTAAATCATTCAGCTGCTGTAGTTAGCCTTTACTATAAAAGAAATCGCAATGAGGGCGCTTAACATCCAACACCACAATCCCCATGTTTTCATTTTGTTGATTGATCCTGAAATGCAAGTGCAACCCCTTCTGTACATGTAAACACAAACTGAAGGATACTTTTAACTGAGCCCTGTTGAGAGGAAATCAATTCCCAAAGAGGTGTCGCAGGTCATCGACACCATAAAAATCCAGAGAAGAAGAAGAGCTGGGAGGAAGAGGAGAAGGAGGAGGAAATGAAGGCAGGAGTCCTATCTGGTGCAGCAAGAGGAGAGTAGGGGGGGGGGGGGACATTTTGGATGACAGGTGTTGGGTCTTCAGTCATTTAATGAACCGGGTAATTCATTGGTCAGCGTGTGCCAGCGCTCAATTTTCTTGTCCTTGTTTTTAAGGCAGTCAAACCAGTGTTTGAGCCTCTCTCCGTTTGCATTGATACCCAGAGATACTCCACCTGGAAGAAAGAGACAAGGAGAGTATTATTTATACACTGAAAAACTGAAACGTTGACTTTGAGTTAAATGTATTATTTTAAGAGCTTTGAGCACCAGAAAAAGCGCCATATAAATAACATGTATTATAATTGTTATTAACACATTTCATGTTACTGTATTAGGTTAGTTGAAAGCAAAACCCTTACCCTATTTAAACGTAATGTTTTAGACAAAACATATGTTCATTTCTTCAGGTTTGGTTCTGACATTTAAAGACACCTTTTGAAGGAACCTTTTCCAGGAACTGGGATAAACTATAACCTGACATTTTTAAGACAAAACCGTCTTTTCGACAAGTTGCCGCCCCTGTTTGAACAAGCATTTGACAAATATCCTTAAGTTCTTGCACTGAAACATGCTTTTAGTTATTAGTTTCGTGACTATAATGCAGCCTTTTAAAACCAGAAAAAGACGACAAGATCTAGTCTCATTTCACAATATGGATAAAATATCGATATATTGCTCAGGGCCAGTTCTAACCAATAATTGGTTGGAGAAAATAAAATATAATAACCCCATTAGACGCAAACGATTCAACATACACACCATGTAAAGCTAAATAAAGGATGTTAAACACAGTGGAAATGTAGGTGTTTTTATAGCTAAGGTCAAATAAGAGATAATCTGTCCTTACGGTTTCTAATCAACTTAATTCTGATATAAATCGTTTTCTTCCTGCAACATGACTCAGTAGACATGACAGCTAGACAATACAAGCTAACACTTTTAATATATAATATATAAAGTGACTATAAATTTGGAAGATACAAATCGTTCTCTTTACAGTACAACGTGCCAGTTCCCAGCATGCATCAGTGCTCGCGGGGCAGATGGCAGACTCAGCTGGTCAGATATCCAGTGGTGAGTATCTGTCGATGTATTTTATCTCTATTTTAACGCTCACCTATGAAATCATTGGACTTCCCGATGTCATAGTCCCACACCGTCACCTCCAACGTCTTCTTGGTGAGGTCTGCATATTTTATGTCGTAACAGAACTCCTGAAAAAAGCAGAGAATAAAAGTAGTTCCTCTCTGCAGTACGATCACATGCATTTACATTCAAAGTGAGGCAAGGCAAGGCAGGTTTATTTATATAGCACCTTTCAACACAAGACAATAGAGTGCCGCAGTGACGCGTCCTAAAACCCAGAAGTAAACTCCGTCCGGTTCCTTCGACAAAAACGCAATGCATTCTCTCCATAGGATTTAGGAAAATAGCTGGAACTAAGGTCTGTGGTTGAGACACATTGAAGAGACGGGTCACGTTTTGTTCAGCCGGATAATCTCCACATGTCTCTACACTACTTTTATTATTTTCTAATCATAAATCTAGTCACCAGAAGCAAAATGCTAACGTTATGCTATAAAGGAACTACAGCAGGGTCGCTGCTTCAACGTCACGCCAACTTCAGATCCATATTCAAACATACAGATTCTAAATGGTACGAGTTGAAGCGTTTGTTTGAACAGTTAGCAGGAGGCAGGTACTTGCTTTCAAGCAGAACAGGGCAAACTAACTTAGAGGAGTGTTTACGTGTTCGGTGTAATGACGTACAACGGCCTCCACAACTTCTGTAGTCCTATTCAGCCACTTGGTAACAACCATCGTTTCTCAGACACGTCAACTCTTCAGAAATCACCAGTGGGGTCACTGCTGATGGATTTAATGTCCTAGAACAAAACGTGATCCGTCTCTTCAATGTGTCTCAACCACAGACCTTAGTTCCAGCTATCTTCCTAAATCCTATGGAGAAATTTCATTGCTTTTTGGCGAAGGAACCGGACGTGGTAAAATGCTAACTTACTTCCGGGTTTTAGGACGCGTCACTCTGGCACTCTATTCAAAGTGCTTTACAGAAATGAAAGACATTAAGAAAATGGCATTTAAAAACAGTCATTAAAAAGCAAAGATAATAACATAAACATTAAAAGAGAAATACATGAATAAAAGTTACAGTGCAGTTTAAGATATGAATAGTTCATGAATGAGGCTCTAAATGTGGGTTTAAAGGTCTGCATAACTGTTGTTACAATCTTCAATGCTTTTGACATTTGCTTCTTTTAAAGGTGAGACTGATTCACAAAACCCTGAGTGCCTCTTTGAGCTCATTTTCTTAAATAATATTCGGGTTAATGTCAGTGCAGAAGTTGAATCCTTTACAAACTGAAACATTTTCAGATTGATTAGTTACACACATTATAGTCCACTTACTACCAGGGGTGGAGGAAAAAAAATGCAAGAATCCATATTTGTATCTTCTAAGATCCTAATTTCAAAGGTTTTTCTTCCATAAAAGTCATAAAAAAACAAGTTGATATATCTTTTTTGTACATCAAGAATCCATAATTGTACACACGCTTGGCATGCCTATGTACTGAATCAAGAATGACATTTGAATAAGGATATTTGTATTTAGTTACTTTACACCACTGCCCTTTAGATCTTTGTAATAAGGTCTTTTTTTAAAGTTGTAAATTGGTTTATGGATTAAAAACGTGACTTAAAAAAATCGAAATTGAATCGAAATGCATTGGGTAATGTAGTGTGCGGCACGAAATGTGAATGGGTAGTAGTGAAGGATTTTGTACGTAGCCCAAGTTATAGAGGTATCCAGAGCACAGAAATACAGCATGGCAGTAAAATCAATCAAGTCCTCCGTCCACGGAACGGAACGAGCGTTTTCTGATATGAATTTGCACCGTGTGGAGCATTCATTCTGCATTTCAATCTGCAGTTCAATCAGGGGGGCTCCTCCTGCTTAATGGAGATCAATGCCTCGATACGGAGGAGACCTCGAGCCTGCTCTCTGACAGAAAGGTGGAGAGGTGACGGAGGAGACGGAGGTTTAATGTCAGAGGAAATGTCAGGAGGCTGGACGTCTGGTCGTATTCAGCTGGGTCTCAGAGAGGAGCTGCCCTCTGAAACCATCAGGGTCTAAAAGGGGACTTTAAGCATCTTCAAAATGCTCCTGAGAAACTGTGTCCTCAGAGTTCAGCCATGCTCTTTGTTGTGTTAAATACTTTTGATTTGTCTCAATTGCATCGCCATTTTTTCCTTTAGTGCAATGTATGAGAGTAGCTTTAAAATGCTTGGTCGATAACAATTGAGGGAGGCGTGTGGTGCAGTGGGTTGTGCGTTGGTGTTCGGATCAGGGGACCACAGGTTCAAACCCCACTGCAGTCAGCATGTCGTTGTGTCCCTGAGACACTTCACCCCAAATTGCTCCTGTGGGGATTGCCCACAGTATTGAGTATGTAAGTCGCTTTGGATAAAAGCGTCTAACAAGTGACATGTAATTAACATTCACTATTAAATAATCATTCTCAGGACCATTCACATTCATTCACTATTGTAGGAATATTAATCTTTTGGTAACTGTCGCTTTGATTCAAAATGATCCTTTGGCAAAATACTTAACCCTGAGTTGCAAATACAATGGCCGCTTTAAAAAAAAGCGTGGTTTGCATTCCGCACAGCCAATCAGACGTATTCACTTTTTTCTCCCACGTTAGTCCCTGCTCTCGAGCAGGGACTGCAAAGCGGGTCAGATGAACTAATTTGAACTACTTTAGTTCCTGGGGCTTTTTGGTGTGAACGCAAATATATCGTAGTTCTGATGAACTATTGTGGGAAAAGTACTCCGGTGTGAACGCGCTAATTGCTGTGCAGTGTCGGCTTATTTAAAGAGTCCCTGTGAGTTTTCTTGCATGCTCGCAGAATGTGAGTAATGCAGGCTCGTAGAGATTTACCCCTCAGTGACAGCTAATAGAAGAAATCCTTAATTTGTCCCAGAGCATTTTTACAGCAAAAGTGCCTATTCTGCTTTTCCCTTTCCTGTAGTGTGTTATATCGGTTGTTGTGAATGTAAATGGTCTGCAAAGGCACTTTTTAACACCCGCGACTTCTATTGGCTAGCGCTCCAACACATTGTACGTGATAGGCTAAGGGGCGGGACAATCACAACAGAGCCGGCCAGCTAACCTGTGTGTGTGTGTGTGTGTGTGTGTGTGTGTGTGTGTGTGTGTGTGTGTGTGTGTGTGTGTGTGTGTGGTGTGTGTGTGTGTGTGTGTGTGTGTGTGTGTGTGTGTGTGTGTGTGTGTGTGTGTGTGTGTGTGTGTGTGTGTGTGTGTGTGTGTGTGTGTGTGTGTGTGTGTGTGTGTGTGTGTGTGTGTGTGTGTGTGTGTGTGTGTGTGTGTGTGTGTGTGTGTGTGTGTGTGTGTGTGTGTGTGTGTGTGTGTGTGTGTGTGCGTGCGCGTGCGTGCTCGGGCTGCACGATTTGGGGAAATAATCGAATTGCGATTTTTCTGACAGATATTGCGATTGCGATTCGATTTTGCGATATTTAAAAAAAAAAGAAAGAAATTTAAAAAAGAATCGCAGGCTTTGCGATTTGATAATCGCATCATTTCAAATCGCGATTTCGATTTGAAATCGATTAATCCTTCAGCCCTAGTGTGTGTGTGTATGAAAAGTTATTATATATAAAAACACTATAAAGTAAAAAAGATGGTTTTAATGTAGCACATGTACATTTATATCAATCTTTTGCACATTTTTACTTTAATTGATTATGCCAATATAAATAGTTTAATTTATTTTATATTTGTTTTAAAATGTTTACTTTAGCCTCCTATACAATGGTTTATTCCTTCATTCCTTCTCAGAGCAAGTGTCATGGGATAATATTTAAGACTTTAAATGTTTGTAGAAAAGATTTAAAAAGTCCAAATTGACTCATGAAAGTTACGTGCCACTTTCTAGCACAGTATGATGTTTTAAGTAAACTTAATATAAAAGGTTTTATATAAAGCTGGGAGCATATGATGACCCCCCTTTGGTTTAACACAGACCCTACAACTGTTCAAAGCATTTAAAGAAATGTTGGAGATAACGGTGACTAAAAAACATCTCAATACCGTTTTAAAACACATTTTAAAGGCCGTTGCATGTTCAGTTGAAAATGTCAGCCAGAAGACGCCTGAGCCTTGTCCTGATCTGACTTTACAAACTGTCTTCATGCACAGAGGTCTTCAGTTCTTTCTTCTCTGGAGGAAAGCGTGCCTTTTTTACCTTAACCTCCTATACAATGTTTTATTTTTTTATTCTTTCATTCATTCTCAGATCAAGTGTTGTGAAACCCAACTCCCCATGGGATAACAAAGTATTCAGGTTTTAAATGTTTGTAACAAATATCAATAAAGTCCAATTTGTCCCATAAAAGGTACGTGCCACTGTCTAGCATTATGATGATTAAAGGTCAACTATCATGCTATTTGTAGGCAATAGCATAGGTCTCAGATATAAATATATAAAAAACATGTCTATGAAGTGTTTTGCTCAAAATACCAAACAGATCACCCATTCTAGCCATGCCTCATATCCCTCTGTTTCACTTCCTGTTTCTAAAGTGCTGATTTGGGGTATAAAGCTTTAATAAATAAAAAGAAGGGGTCTGAGCTCATGCGGGACCCGGCAGCTACTGTCTAAACTAAATACTGCGGTGATGAAACGCCATATCATGGATTATCAAGGATTATTTCTGAAACAGTATGGAGCTCAAAGGCTTTCTCTCTTGCCGGTTATACCACAAGGTGAGTTCCTTTTTATTTCCTGCTTCTTCACACACATGCTCTCCAGTACAGGTTAGCTCTGAGTGTTAGCGATGCTAATGTAAACACCGACCATATTACGTCCAAAACAGTCGGGCATTGTTTCTGATAGCAACTTTCTGATAGTGCCGTGGGTCCACATTTCAGATATTACGTCATATCGGACGCAAATCTGGATCAGCTCCGTTGTAGCCCCGTTTTTAGAGATTTGGGTACGGAGGAAAAGAGAGAGGGTTTTATTTTCCCTGACACACCGGGGACACATCTTTATGTACTGTATAAAATACATCAAAAAGTGCATTTTGCATGATAGGTCCCCTTTAAGTGAACTTAACATTCCATATAAGGAATTATATAAAGCTGGGAACATACGATGATCCCCTTTTTGTTTTAGACAGACCCTAGAACTGTTTAAAGCATTTAAAGAAATGTTGGACATCTCTAGTTTCACCTTAACACCATTTTAAAACACGCATTAAAGGCTGTTGCATCACAACCCCAATATCAAACAAACATCTTCAGTTCAAAAGAAGACGCCTGAGCCTTGCCCTGATCCGACTTTTCAAACTGTCTTCATGCACAGAGGTGTTCAGTTGTTTCTTCTCTGGAGGAAAGCGTGCCTCTTTCAGCGCTCTCACAATGTCTCTCTAAGTCCCGGGGGTTTGGAGGTTCCTCGGCACATAACGGCATCGGATAAACACTCAGAAGAACAAATAGGAAAGACGAAGATTTGGAGCTGCAAGGTTTTAGCACAATTACGGCGGATTATACCTCGTTGAACTCTGGATTGAGCGTCTTCTTCTTCACGGTCGTCTTGTGCTTTGACTTTTTGTTCTCGTCAGGCTTCAGGTACCTGGAGGACAGACGAGGAAGAAGAGAGAAAAGATTTAAAACCTTAAAGCTTTCACTGCGGATTATTTCTGTGGTTGGTATTCAGGGGGAAAATACTGTTCAGTTGTTGCACATTTAAAGCCTGTCGTTTGAAACACTCAACAAAATAATCAAACATGATGTGCAATGGAGAGAAGATTCATGTTACCTGAAGGGAAAACACACATCCATGTAGTTCAAAAAGTGTCTTGACAAAACAATTAAACTATAAGCCAAAAAAAAAAAACTGGGAAAAATAAATAAATAAAAATACCTTTAAAGCTCCCATGTCATGCTTTTCTGGTTATTACCCGTCCCCTTGTTGTTATGTAGCTTTTTCTGCATGTAAACGGTCTGCAGAGTCACAAACCCTCAAAGTACACCCTGTAGCGAGTAAAACTCTAACACAGAAAAGACCTGTCTATGCTGCCCCAGAACACCTCGTTGGACATTTCTCTTTTTCCATTGTTTACTTCTTGGGTATAGTGACGTATTTCGGGTATAGTGACGTAACGTAATGGACCAATCCGCGGAGCCGTTACGTTACGTCCGCGGAGCCGTTACGTTTGGACCAATCCGCGGACTTCCTCACACACACACACACTCGGCGGGACGTTGCGAGGCTCGCTGCTGCGAGGAGCGGGACACTGTGAGCTGGCTCACTGGTGTGGGGTCGGCGAGACAGCGAGACACCGCGGAACTCAGCCTGAGCACACACACAAACTCCCAGCCAGGCTGCGGGTGTGTGTGTGTTTCGGGCTGGGTTTCGCTGTGTCTCGCTGTCTCGCAGACGGCCACTGGGCTCACAGGGGAGGGGGGGCAGGAGCTCCAACAAGCCGTTTAGGACAGAGAGTGAATACACATACTATACAGAGATGCTGTATGAGAAACCAATGTGAGTTTGGAAAATTGCACAATATACATTTATTTTAGTAGACCTCAACAATGGAATTATGATCAGTAGAAATGTCCATGACATGGGACCATTAAATTAAATTAAAAACCAGATAAAAACAAAAATATAATAATAATATTACGAGAATAAATTAAATTAAAAGCCAAATAAAAAAATATATAAAAAAGTCATAATAAATACAAATCAAATACTCTAAGAGACCAATACAAAAAAATTGGCAATAGTGTGTAAATGTGTGTTTAACTGAAAGTATAGCCAAAGTCAATTCTAATGGGGACTCTAATAAAGCCCTCATGTAAATCCTCATATGTAAAAGTCAAAGCTTCATTGAGACGTGGTGTTTCCTGCAGAGGGAGCTGCTGTACCACACCCCCACAGCTGCATCACATTACACATGATCTGACTGTAATAGACTCCACATGAGCTTTTTATTAAACACATTATTCTCCAGTTGTTAAACAAGTCTCTGTTGTGTCCTCCCCTCTTTAGATGGATGTCCAATACACGGATAGTTTAACAGCAAGATTTCATTTGAGTGTGTTTTTGATTAGATTACGGAGGTGAAGACGTATCGCCTCATAACAGAAACACATCTCCACTGCTGCACAACATTCACACATTTTAACGCATAAATGTCAAGTCTTGTCAATATGAGGTTTTATGAGTCTAGTACCATTTAATAGTCTTTCTTTTTCAGACACTTCTTGGTTTCCTTTAGTATTAAATGGAGTATTCTCCACTCAGTTGCCAGTGTATCAGCTACAGCAAATTAAAAGTAGTGCATATAACCTACTCTACCATACTTATAAAAGCTTTTATTGACTCTGTGATGGAGGTTATAAGGGGTCTTTGAGCTAGTTTCACTCAGTGATTGTGATGATTATGTTAAAACATATGCTGCTGTGATGCAAGTCAAATGTCAGACTTGATCTAACCATTAAAGTATTATCGTATCGTTATGATTCAGCTCGGTTTGTTGGTGCTGTCTTGCAGGATTACAGAAAAAACTACTGTTGTGATTATCATAAAACTTGGTAGGAAGGTGATGCATGGGCCAAGAAAACACCCATTACATGTTAGAGTGGATCTGAATAACAGGGCAGATATGAACATTCAATTACACTTTTCTTAACAATGAAAGATCAGGAAGTTTTATTTTCTTAATAATCATAAATTGTTGTTATTATCTATAAAAGGGTGGATGTGGCTCAGTGGGTTAGTGCGCTGATCTTCGAATCAGAGGATAGCAAGTTCGAGTCCCTCTGCAGTCAGCATGTCGTTGTGTCCCTGAGACACTTCACCCCAAATTGCTCCTGTGGGGATTGCATACAGTAGCCTACTGAATGTATGTAAGTCGCTTTGGATAAAAGCGTCTAACAAATGAAATGTAATAAAAACATGTATAACAATGTGCTGTTTAAAGACTCATAGCATTCAACTCGTCCTCTTTGCCTATGAACACACAGAAGTAAGACTTCAAAGAAAATGGGACTTTCCGAGGAGCAAGTGAATGCAGCAATAGGCGCTTTCACACCGGAGTACTTTTACCCGTACTTTTCCCGTTTAGCTCCGTTAGTGCCTGGAATTTTGCGTTCACACCAAAAAGAGAACTTAGTTCATGAGAACTTTTACCCCCATTTTTAGTGCCTGCTAGAGAGGTGGGACTATCCTGGGGAGAAGAAAGTACCAATTTCTGATTGGCTGGGCGAATTGCAAACCACGCCCCGTAAAACTTTGTGAAGCCGCCATTGTATTTACTGGCATTAGCATTATTAGCATTAGCATTAGCCCCGCGCACCAACGCAGAGAGAATAAATTATGGAAACACAAAATAAAACATGGGAGTGGTGGAGATGAGGAGGTGTCGGCGTTCTGGCGATTTACTCTGAAGGCTTCAGTAGAAGCTGCTGGGAGTCCCAGCAGCTTCTACTGAAGCCTTCCCCAACTCCGGGGACTTCCGGCCGGGGACTCCGGGTGGCAGTATACGCCGTGAAGTGGTTTGCGGCCTGCCAGTAAACCCAAAGCAGAAGAAGAAGAAGAAGAAGAAGTGACCTCAGCGGCTTCATTTGCCTAATCTTCCCTCAGGGACTTATTCCGGTGTGAACATGATCGGCTCTTTAGTTCCATGGGGGCACTAAGTGCTGGGAACTAAGTGCTGGGAACTAAGTGCTGGGAACTAAGTGCTGGGAAGTAAGTACGGAAAAGTACTTGGTGTGAAAGCGGCTATTGGCCTTTTCTCGGAGGTCTTTGCTCAAAAAAATGCAATTCTAGTTTAAACTTTTAGATGTTTTGGTTTAATAAGGTGCAGTATGCGCTTTATCTCAATTGTATTGTGTTATCTAGATAGAACAAGTGGTTTAAATTCAATCTGAACATTGTTAGTGCTGCTGCCTCAAAGTCAATTAGTCACCTAATTGGCTGTTTTGATTTTTATTCAACTGAGATTTGTCATTTTTTAATGCTTTATTCATGCTGATTGACTTATTTCCAAGAATCGTTGGAGAACGTCTCTGATTAAGATAATTTAAAGAAGTGCTTTTGTGTGATTCTTTGCAGAGAAACACAGTTTTTAAAGATGCTAATCACATAAACTAATAATTTAATTAGTGTTAGTTAGAAATAATGTCTTTAATCAAGGGCAGATCTGAGATAGGCTGCGAAATGAATCACATTTTAATTGAAATGTCAACTAGTGCAATATCCAAATCGCAGTTAGCATAACATTGGTCCTGACCTACAAACGGTAATCTACAAACTTAAATACAATCTTTGCTCGGCACAGATCACACCATGATCATTTTACTATATTTTTAAATGATAATATAATGAATGTTTCAGAAGTAATCGTTTCCTCTCATTGCTCATCAAACACATTTGCAATATCAGACAAAATAATCACAATTAGTTCTGTGTTTCCGTATCTTGCAGGCCTAAATCTTAATAACCTTTCTGAAGTTAGCACATACTGCAGCACTGTGTTTTGTTTAAGGGAATGTAATGAAGCTAAGTGAGCCGTGAAATATGCAATATAAGTCAAAGTTGACTTTAAATTGATTTCCTTTGAAGGTGTTGCTGTTGTTCCCAGAAGAACATTGTGGTCACTTATCAGTTTCCCTTTGCATTATTGCGGTCGACGAGTCAGCGGGGAAAACAGATCGTTAGCGCTACTCTCTTAGCCTCGGTGCTGAATGTGTGTTTATGAATGTGTGTGTGTGTGTGTGTGTGTGTGTGTGTGTGTGTGTGTGTGTGAGAGTTGGACCTTTGCTCCTGTTTCCTGCCTTCATAAATGATGCAAAAGGCAGGTTCTGTGAAACCTGCATGGTGTGTATTACCTCTGTCCATTTGGAAAACAACAGTTTTGGGCGATAATGCTCGTTGTGATAGCGCTGTGTTTCATTCCAGTAAGCAATTACGCTCGCTCGTCACATCTCTCTCTCTGTTACCTGGACACACACACACTTCAATTTCCCTGAAGGTAAAACCAAGACGTAAAGGGGGGGGGGGTGGGGGTGGGGGTGGGGGTGGGTAAGTGGGTTATACTCACAAACTCACCCCAGGGGGAGAGGGGACTGAGATGATGAGAATATTGCAGGAAACATAATTGTTGTCGTGTAATAGGACCACTGACCCCCAGGCGAAACCGGCTAATAGTGAAATTTAGCGTGCAAACAATGCTATTGTATCACAAAATGGTTTCAAATGTTATTTTCTATGTCTGAATTGATGCAATATTGCTGTTGTGTCTCTAGAATACTTTATTTCAGTGATTCTGCAGTGCATTTTCACCTTTTAAGCTTGATTTAATGCACATTAACTGAAGAGCAATTGAGGAGGACACTCTATTAGTGAAAGATAGGATGCAGACAATTCTGTTTCAACCTCTGAATTGATGCAGTTGTGCTATAGTGTCACAGTTATGCCTTATTGCTTCACTTTGAAATGTACTTTGACCTTTTAGCTTGATTTTATGCACATTGACCAAAGAGCCAAAGGAAAGATAAGCTTATAGTAAACGTTGGTATGCAAACAATGCTTTTAAATATCGTTTCCACCTCTGAATTAATGCA